TCCGCAACTAATATGTGCGAAGGCTGTTCTTCATCACTCATGATGCCGTTGCACCCACTTAGCGATTTGTTTCAAGTCAATCGTGCAACTGGTTCAATCTTTCGATCAGGTTGATGTCAGCATGCTCTGTTCATGCCAAGCGTTCCACTGAATCGTCTGCCATCTGGTAGTCGCTGAAAACAAAACACAGCGTGGCAACTGATCTTCTTTGCACTTTGTCAGAGGCTGCATGACATATGTATGTTCGATTTCAGAAATCCGCGTACGAAGAACAGCCTTTCCAAAATTTTTCACTTGTCTGAGGTTCTTCTGAGTACGGTTGAGAATGATGAGGGTAAAGTCTCTGAAGATGTGCGACGGGAGTGCAATTATCGAGTAATTCTTGATATTTCCTAGTCATCTTTCTTCACGACAAGATGTATTCATACTGCTTTCCAGACGTAGAGCTGTGCTGGATATGATACACAGAATTATCCAGAATCTTTGGCAAGTGTTTTAAACAGAATTTTTCATCCTACTTTAAGGCGTTTTTACCGCATATCGTCTTCACCCAGACATTTGCCATTTTTCATGTTTACGATTGCCCACTGAACTTCGTTTGACTTTGCAAGGATTTCTGGGATTGCTTTCGGTAACTTTAAATTCATGTTTACTTTGAGAAAATATAGAATGTTGTAAAATTTTCTACAGATCGCGTCAATGCGTTTTTTCAGTTAACTCTGATCCCCTTGCTTTAAACGAGCATCTTGATCCATAGCCTCTCTTAATCAAGGTTTATCCTAAACGGCTGTAGTATTCCCTATCTTTTCTTATCTCCTTGTTCAACACAGTGCACATATAATCATTTCTCCATTCTGCCTTGAATTAAGTTCCTCGAGGCATTGGCTGCAGTGCTCGAGGCCTGATGGATTTCTTACACGTTGGCTTTGCTGTTCTAATTGATATGCTAACGGCGGTCATTTTTGCATTTAAAAACTGGTCATAATCCGCATCCATGTACTCGCTGATATTTATTTCATCTTTATTTTCTTTGACTGCATCACCTATCAAATCGCGCAGGCAGCTGCATCAGACAGTCCTTAAAAGTTTCCCGTTCCTGTGCCACAGTCTGAGCTTCGGAAGATGAAACTGGAGTCTAGAACAGATTCCTTCCACATGTTTGCACCAGGTTAATCTTGGCCATCCCCTGGGCCTTTCTCCAGTTGGATTTGCAAGGAACAGTTGCTTAGCCTTCCTTTCTGGAGGCATTCGCAACACATCCCACAACCATTGCAGCTGTGACTTCTCAATCTGGACAAGCAGAGGCTGCACCAAGATTATCGCGGAATTCTGCACCCCGCACCATGTGCAGACGCGTAAGGTCAGCGACTCGTCTCAGAAAGCGCATTTCAACCACTTGCAGCCGGGATTCAAAATTTTCGGTCATGGTCCATGACTCATGACCATAGGTAAGCATGGAGATAAAGATCGACTTGAACACCAAGATCTTAGTTTTCAGACCGAGCTCTGCTTTAGTCACAATGGATCGGGCCGGTTCACGCAGAACGCTACCGGCTATTCCAATTCGCCGGTCGATCTCTCCCTCCAATTTTCCATCACTAGTAAACACAATTCCGAGATACTTGAACTGCTCTACCTGCTCCACTGCCTCTCCGTTAA